TCATATTCTTGTCGACACAAAATTGCAGGGTTGTGATATTCCCTTTCAGAGGGAAGACAGTAGGAGCTTTACTCAATCACCAGTTTGTACATGCATGCTGCTTTAGAAATATCAGAGACAGCAACAACTGTCTTATCGGTGAGGAGCACAGTACCCTTTCAGATAAATTTCAAGCTCTCAGTGCTAATCTCAACAACAATTTGCAACAATTTGCAGACTCCCTAACAAGTGGCCTCTCTACCCTCAGATCTCCAGTCTAAGATCAAATCAGATGCTCAAGTTGATGGAGAATGGATTGAATCTAATCAAAACTGTTGGTAGACTCCTCAGCAAAACCACTTTTTCAAGCAAGGAAATCCCATTTGAAAGGAGAGCTGCCTCAAGAACTCACCAGTCAAAGCTAAGACATTTGACTCTTGTGGACTTAGTATGCACATATCAAAACAGTAATTTAACAGTGAAGTAACATTTTTATGTGCTGCAAACCTACTGATATACCACATCGTGTGACTCTCATACTGGTCCTAAAATTCTGCTTAGAAGGCAATTCTTACTGCCCTCTGGCAGGGTACCTTTGGTTTTATTTCTTTCATAAGTCAGTAACTTTCCTAGGAAGGATGAGATACTGGTCACTACTCTAGTATCGTCACAGTGCCTTTCTAGTCTCTATGTCCTGGCAAAACTTACAGTCACTGATAGTTGATAGTCACTGATAGTAGACTGTGTCTACTCATCTGGAAACTGTGTATCACATCAGAGCCAGCAATAGCTCTTTTTACTCTTGGAAAGTGACACAATTCAAAGTTAATGGAATTCTTACTTTCCTTTTCCCTCCCTTTTTTTTTTCTAACGTTCCCAGTTAAAGTCAAGAAACTAAGCCACATATTTTTAATAATGAGAATCTGGATGAGGTTCAATCTAAATTTTGAAAATATATTCCAATTAAAGATTTTAATAGATTCTTGGCCTTCCCCACATCTCATTGCCATGTGCATCCAATAATCCCAAGCCCCTTTTTTTCCTAGTAATAAGTAGACTGCAGAGTGGATGACATCATTCTGCAGAAGGTCAGTTGCTCCTGAACTGCTGCTTTCTGAGCATTTCTTGCAAACGTTTTGCTCAGGAGGGGCTTTTTTTTTATTTCCAGACTGGCTGCAGATCTGCTGTGCTTGTGTCAAACATGGTGCTTGCCCTTGTAAAGCTGCAATGACTTTTGGATTGCATGCTCCAAAAGAGAGGTTTTGTTCTCAGGCCAGAGGATTTCACGGGCAGAAACAGCAAGTTGTTCTCCTTGGTAGGACAATATGGTGACCACTCACGTCACAGACCTGCAGAGACTTACTGATGTGCTTTGCTTCAATGGCAACAAGTGTAAATAAATTTCGTGGATGCTACAGTCAGCCACATCAGGCATTTGTGTGACTGGTTGTGATACCAGACTCCAGTTTGTGTAGCAGCTGAAACCTATCATTGTGTAGATTAGAAAGTTATTTAATCCCTTTATGAAACAGCTGCATCCAGTGTGCCGAGTATCAATTCGGTGTGTCACTTTGGCCCTTGCTGAACATATGGCTTGGGCCAAACAAATGAGGAAAGTACTCGGATGTATGTTCAATGACAGAAAGGATAATGTGGAAAAAATGATAATACCTTTAGATAATTGTATCATGTGGATGCATCTGGAATATTCTGTACGGACTTGTCTTTAGAGAAACGATTAAGGACCTGGAAAACTTCCTACTTGAAGAGAAATTAAATGACTGGTGCTATTCACTGTGAGAAGCACAGAAAATGGACATAAATATCTGTAAAACAACAAAATGTATGGAGAAGGTGGATGAGAGTGAACCGTTCTCCTTATCTCTTAGCAATGAGCACTCAGAATAGGAAAGTCAGAGCCAATTGAAAGAAGCATGTTTCACACAGTTGTGTCATAAAAATATGGAAATTGCAGTCACAAGAATCTATCAAGGATGAGTGGCACAAAGCTACCGTATTTTCATCTCTCTGCAAGATAGTATAGACTGTAAAGACTTGGTACCTGATCTTACATTCTCAAGAATCTTCTCCATCCAAAAAATCATTCTACTCTTATTTCCCTGAATCCTTTTCTAACTCTTTCCACCCTTTAAAAATACATACCCTAGAAGACTATACTGTAATATCAGTTTGCAGCTAGGAAATTGTCTCCCCTCTGCTTACCACTACTTTTTTTTTCTACACCGAAGATTGCACGTCCCTTTTTACCTGTGTTACATACAGTCCCTTGCCTATGCAGTGGCTTATCCACTGAGATCTCCAAATTCTTGTCAGTGACAAGACTTTCCAGCACACTTGGTGGGTGAGTATGTCCTACGTTTTGTTTCTAGACACATGGTACTGTATCTGGCTGAACCAAAAGCCATGGTTTTTTTGAAATCATGCAGGTTACCAAACAATCTTTATTACTTTTCATACCTTTGTCCCTGTCATTACCGGCCACTTTGCACTCTTTTTCTCCTCACCAAGCTGGACAACCATAACTCACTCTTCATCAATGACTTTTCTTCCTAAACATACGGCCACTTTTGTTCCTCTCATCTTGACTCTTTGCAGTAAGTACACACTCCTCTTAAACTGCACTAGACACATCTAGCCCCAAAAGTTTCTTGTAGCCCCCGTGCAGTTTCCCAACAAACAATTGAAAGGGTAAAATAGAGGCTTGCAGATCCTCAAATGTTTATTCAGAAATGCCACATAATGACTGAACTTTGGAGACAACAGCATGATCTAGAGTTCAAATGTCTGTTTCTTATAATAATACTCTTAAAGTTTCTGATTCATAAATATGCAAGGGTTTGAGATAACAGCATGAAGCTCAACGCACTAAAGATTCAGGTGGGAGAGAGGAGAGGTGGGAGAGTCCCAGGCAAGACACTTACATGAAACCGTGGCTAAGGCTCAGAGCATATGAGGTGCAATAGTCTATGCTGAAGTCAGCTGTTATACACCAGTGATTTACTCACCTGTCATGCAGTTCATGTGCTTGAAAGCAAGGAGATAAAGAGATATGGGCACTGTGCATTCTGGTCATCTTAGACTTGGAGGGGACAATCACTTGTGGCTTAAAGTCACCTCAGCATTGGGGGCTGTCCCAGCAGCCAGAAATTAAAATAGAGTGTGTTTGTACCTTGGCTTTGCACCTATCACTGAGGTCAGCGTTAAGCTTGTTACAGCAAACATTGGCAAGGTGAATATTATGGTAGCGGGAATATTCCTGATTTATTATCTTGAGGTTGTTGGGCATGGTTAAATACAGAGCTTGAGAGCGCTGTTTTGTAGTGCATTTAAAGTTCTGAGACTGACCTGTGGACACAACTTTAGTTAAGCGCTGTCCTAAACCTAGTCATCTGTGGTGCAGTGCTAGCGGTCTGCACCAAGCCATCCGGTCACAGGATGCTGGCTTGCTTCCTGGTTTTTCAGCTGCCAAACTATATTAAAACAAGCTAAAAATACATTAAATATTTTCCTTTCCTAGTATTACCTTACCACGTAAGCAATAGTTGGACTTGCCACTGGGATGTTATCTGATAACCAATCGGAGGGGAGGGAGGCGTGCGAGCCCGAATAG